GTTTAAATATCAAGGTATCTTAACGGGGACCAATTCTGTTGGTATCCATATCTACTCTCTTACCGTTTGTTGATCACACATTCTCTATCGAAGCTCTCATAATAATAATAATATGCCATTTAGCAGACGCTTACAGTCATATGGGCAGCAATACGAGACAGCGCAGAGAAGCGGGGGAAATGTTATAGCGGTATTTTGACATGCAACAGCGAGACGTGCTTTGATAAGGCGACCTATGGATTCAAATCAAATCAAATCAAATGTGATTTGCCACATGCACCGAATACAACCTTACAGTGAAATGCTTACTTACAAGCCCTTAACCAACAATGCAGTTTTAAGAAAGAAAATAAATTGATAAGTAAAAAATCAAAAAAAGCTAATAATTAAAGCAATTAGAGCCGCAGTAAAATAAAATAACAGTAGGGAGGCTATATACAGGGGGTACCGGTACAGAGTCAATGTGCGGGGGCACCGGTTAGTCGAGGTAATTGAGGTAATACAGTGGAAGAAAAAAGTATTTAGTCAGCCATCAATTGTGCAAGTTCTCCCACTTAAAAATATGAGAGAGGCCTGTCATTTTCATCATAGGTACACGTCAACTATGACAGACAAAATTAGAAAAAAAAATCCAGAAAATCACATTGTAGGATTTTTAATGAATTTATTTGCAAATGATGGTGGAAAATAAGTATTTGGTCAATAACAAAAGTTTCTCAATACTTTGTTATATACCCTTTGTTGGCAATGACACAGGTCAAACGTTTTCTGTAAGTCTTCACAAGGTTTTCACACACTGTTGCTGGTATTTTGGCCCATTCCTCCATGCAGATCTCCTCTAGAGCAGTGATGTTTTGGGGCTGTCGCTGGGCAACACGGACTTTCAACTCCCTCCAAAGATTTTCTATGGGGTTGAGATCTGGAGACTGGCTAGGCCACTCCAGGACCTTGAAATGCTTCTTACGAAGCCACTCCTTCATTGCCCGGGCCGTGTGTTTGGGATCATTGTCATGCTGAAAGACCTAGCCACGTTTCATCTTCAATGCCCTTGCTGATGGAAGGAGGTTTTCACTCAAAATCTCACGATACATGGCCCCATTCATTCTTTCCTTTACACGGATCAGTCGTCCTGGTCCCTTTGCAGAAAAACAGCCCCAAAGCATGATGTTTCCACCCCCATGCTTCACAGTAGGTATGGTGTTCTTTGGATGCAACTCAGCATTCTTTGTCCTCCAAACACGACGAGTTGAGTTTTTACCAAAAAGTTCTATTTTGGTTTCATCTGACCATATGACATTCTCCCAATCCTCTTCTGGATCATCCAAATGCACTCTAGCAAACTTCAGACGGGCCTGGACATGTACTGGCTTAAGCAGGGGTACACGTCTTGCACTGCAGGATTTGAGTCCCTGGCGGCGTAGTGTGTTACTGATGGTAGGCTTTGTTACTTTGGTCCCAGCTCTCAGCAGGTCATTCACTAGGTCCCCCCGTGTGGTTCTGGGATTTTTGCTCACCGTTCTTGTGATCATTTTGACCCCACAGGGTGAGATCTTGCGTGGAGCCCCAGATCAAGGGAGATTATCAGTGGTCTTGTATGTCTTCCATTTCCTAATAATTGCTCCCACAGTTGATTTCTTCAAACCAAGCTGCTTACCTATTGCAGATTCAGTCTTCCCAGCCTGGTGCAGGTCTACAATTTTGTTTCTGGTGTCCTTTGACAGCTCTTTGGTCTTGGCCATAATGGAGTTTGGAGTGTGACTGTTTGAGGTTGTGGACAGGTGTCTTTTATACTGATAACAAGTTCAAACAGGTGCCATTAATACAGGTAATGAGTGGAGGACAGAGGAGCCTCTTAAAGAAGAAGTTACAGGTCTGTGAGAGCCAGAAATCTTGCTTGTTTGTAGGTGACCAAATACTTATTTTCCACCATAATTTGCAAATAAATTCATTAAAAATCCTACAATGTGATTTTCTGGAATTTTTTTTCTCAATTTGTCTGTCATAGTTGACGTGTACCTATGATGAAAATTACAGGCCTCTCTCGTCTTTTTAAGTGGGAGAACTTGCACAATTGGTGGCTGACTAAATACTTTTTTTCCCCACTGTACATAGACATGGAATCACTGGCCACTTTAATAATGGAACACTAGTCACTTTAATAATGTTTACATACTGCTTTACTCATCTCATATGTATATACTGTATTATTTTCTACTGTATTTTAGTCAATGCCACTCAGACATCGCTCATCCTGATATTAATATATTTCTTAATTCCATTCTTTTACTTTTAGATTTGTGTGTATTATTGTGAATTGTTAGATACTACTGCACTGTTGGAGCTAGGAACACAAGCATTTCGCTACACCTGCAGTAACATCTGCTAAATATGTGTATGTGACCAATAAAATTTGATTGAGATATTTCAAGTTATTTCAAATATTTTGTTTACATTTACATTTTAGTCATTTAGCAGACGCTCTTATCCAGAGCGACTTACAGTTAGTGAGTGCATACATAATTTTTTTATTTTTCATACTATTTAATTTTTCATACCTGGCTGAGTCGGGTGTAACCACATTTTAGCTTGTAACAATTTTGGCCTCAAATGACAGGCAGAGCGAAATAGCAAGGAAGCTGTTGTCGTTTCTCTGTTCTACCGGCCTGCACCTACGGGTGATGCGTATAGATCAGGGGTGTCAAACTCATTTTAGCTCAGGGGCCACATGGAGGAAAATCTATTCCCAAGTGGGCCGGACCGGAAAAATCATGGTATATATAACTTAAAAACAACAACTTCAGATTGTTTTCTTTGTTTTAATACGATCAACATACAACATAAAGCTGGAGCCTGAGGACAGTGTGTCCAAAATAGTACAAGCACAACATCACTATTAATCATAAAACACGTCAAGTTTATTTGAAAATTCTAAAGAAAAAGAACACACAAACACACAATGCCTCAGTGATTAACAGAACTGTTTCACAGATCACAGAACTATATCAGGGTGTCATTTCTCAGGCAGAAATGTAGATGAAAATAATGAAATCCTGTTCCCCAAACAAGTGCAAGAACCACAGAGTCAAGAATAGGTTAAATATACAAATAAAATAAAATCAATTAAAAACAATAGCACATCAACATAAAAACATATAAACATAAATCTGAAAGCGTTGCTCAAACTCCCGTAACAGTCCCGTTATTTTATCTTTGAACCGCTTCATGTCTGCCACATGTTGGGTCGCGCACACATTTTTCAGACAGGGGAAGTGAGCTGCATCACCACCGGCAAGTTGCGTCTCCCACAATGACAGCTTCAACTTGAAAGAACGTATGCTGTCATAATACTGCGTGACAACTTTGTTGCGCCCTTGCAGCTGTTTGTTCAAGTTATTCAGGTGCTCTGTAACATCCACCATAAATGCAAAGGTCCTGCATCCATTCTGCGGAATGAAATTCTAACACTGGTTTGCCCTTTTCTTCCATGAACTGTTCAATTTCTTCTCGTAAATCAAAGAAACGCCTCAGCACAGCACCTCGGCTTAACCATCTTACCTCAGTGTGGTATGGCAGGCCATAGATGTGGTCTTTCTCTCTGAGAAGGCTGTCAAACTGACGGTGATTCAGGCTTCTGGATCGGATGAAATTAACAGTTTGGATGACCACCTTCATGACGTCATCCATCTTTAATGACTTGCAACACAAAGCCTCCTGGTGCAAAATACAGTGAAAAGTCAAAAAATCACGTCCTCCATTTGCAGATTGCACTTTCTCTCTGAACTTTGTCACAACGCCTGCTTTTTTCCCGATCATTGAGGGCGCACCATCTGTAGCCAGGCTGACAGCGCGGGACCAGTCCACTCCGACCCTGTCCAGCGCGCCGACGAGTGCGGTAAAAATATCGGCTGCTGTCGTTGTATCTGTCATCGGCACCAACTCCACGAACTCCTCAGTGACGGTCAATGTGTCATCAACTCCGCGGATGAAAATGGCCAGTTGTGCAACATCTGTAATGTCCGTGCTTTCATCAATTGCAACCGAAAACGCAATAAATGACTTTACTTTTTGCTTCAACTGGCTGTCCAAATCCACTGAAAGATCGGAAATCCTGTCTGCAACTGTGTTTCTTGTCAGGCTGATATTTGCAAAAGCCTGCAGCTTTTCAGGGCACACAATCTCCGCTGCCTTCATCATGCATGTTTTTACAAATTCACCCTCACTAAATGGTTTTGAAGCCACTGCGATTTCATTAGCAATGAGGTAGCTAGCTTTCACTGCAGCGTCACTGATGTCTCGGCTGTGAGTAAACACAGACTGCTGTTTCTTCAGACCCGCCAACAGTTCATTCACCTTCTCTCATCTCCGCTGTCCTTGAAAGTTGTCATATTTGTCGGCATGAAGACTCACATAGTGGCGACGAAGGTTATATTCTTTCAGCACTGCAACATGCTCTGAACACACCAAACATACAGCTTTCCCATTCAATTCCGTGAATAAATAGGATGACCATTTTTCTTGGAACACTCTGCACTCTGCGTCCACTTTTCCCTTTTTTGACAGAGACATATTGGGGCAATGAGGGTGCCAAAGCACATAATGTTAAAAGTAGAAGCCGTAATAAATATCGCAGGCAAAACAAAGTAGCTCATTGGCTGCACGTGCTTGACCTACTTGCTCTGCCCCGGTATAAACAGTTTGCTTGCTTAACACAATTGCTATTGCGCCATCCAGTGGACATAATTGGAACAGCAGTTTATTTTATTGAAAAATTGCAGCGCATTTTTTTTTTTAATCATCTCGCGGGCCGGATTAAACCCGTTTGCGGGCCTGATCCGGCCCGCGGGCCGGACGTTTGACACCCCTGGTATAGATATTTAAATATGTAATTCGCACTCCGACCTGAGGATGGCAGCAATACGCAATACACAGTTTAGTTTGCCGGAAACGCACAAGATGAAGAAGAAGAAGAAGAAGAAGAAGAAGAAGAAGAAGAAGACGACGACGACGCTGATGATAATGATAATGATACCCCGGCTGTAACAACATTCAGCCAATGCATAGGTAGTTGTGGCTACACGGGATGTACTGTTACATACAGTTTAGAGCCCGGAGTGTTAGGGGCTTATGCTTTAACATTTTCAATAATGATGAAACTCTGAAGGAACATTTTCGCCACCTTCACTAGAAGAAGACAGTGAAGTGACATTTAAACGATACCTCAATAATATTTTCGTTCCGTTCTGCCATTGCTTTGGAAGCTAGCTAACGTTAGCAGGCTAGCTTGTATTTAGCATTTGCGAGGCTGTGGAGGCGTAAAACAGGAGAAGAGCGGGTTACAACGCTCGTTTGTTTTTTAGGTAACAGTTTTCTTTCGGTTATATTGTTGTTGTTTTTTTAGTTTATATATGGTGACATATTTATGTTCGATTTCAATGTTGGTAATGAAACGTAATTGTGCTAACGCAGCTAGCTAGCTTTGTTAACGATAGCTAACGTTAGCGTTGATCACTAACGTTAGCTAGCTAGCTAACACAAAGGGGAGTTCTAGGAGCTAGTTAGTTAACGGTGGAGTTGACTGTATTGCTAGCAATGCCTTTGTATTTTCCTCTGTTCTGGCACAATGCATAACACAACGCTTATCATACTAGGAGATGGAGCGCCACTCAGACATATATCTACACATGTAATGTGAAGATGGATTAATATTGGCTAGGAATAGATAGATAGCTTACGTTAGAGTAATCGTTAGCTAGCAGTTTGGTTATCTAAAATTCAATGTCGCTCTTTTGTTGTTACGCTAGCTAACTAGCCAGTTACAACGCACTGTTGTGTTTAACCGTTTGATTGCAGTATTTTGTCAAGACAGCTATTGTTTCTTCATTGTCATCAAGCTAGCAAGATAACTTCATCTGTATTGGCTGTATAATTGATTGAAAATCAGTGTGTTGTCTGGCCAGAAAGGAATTGGTAAACGTTAGTTAGATTATCTTTAAATCAAAGCAATCTCATTTGTTGATTTTGTTTTTGTCACTGCTTAAGTGATTTCGGGACACCAAAGAAGAGCTTACTTAGTTACATTTTTGGGAACATTGTAACAAAGTAGCAACAAATATATTAGGCCTAGTTCATTAGCTATAATGGCCTACTACACTTTGGCCTCAAATGGGATCTCATCATGGATATCTCTACACATGGTCCTCCTCATATTCACTGGTAAGTATTTTATAATAACTAAATATTTGTTACAACTCGCATACAATCTATACCACAGCAACTCAAACACACTCAAGCACACAGGAGGATATGTTCATTTCCATCTAAAATGACCCATGAACACCAACGTAGTCCAGTGTAACTCAGTTGGTAGAGCATGGCGCTTGGAACGCCAGGGTTGTGGGTTCGATTCCCATGGGGGACCAGTATGAAAATGTATGCTGTAAGTTGCTCTGGATAAGAGTGTCTGCTAAATGACTAAAATGTAACGTGAGGTTTATAGGAGCATATCACATTTGGTGTCAAATGAAAGCTAAGAGTCTATATTTTTGGGAGATTCTCACAATTCTATATGTATTGCAATTAGATACTGGGATTTTCTTGCGATTTGATGTTCCAAACATATTGCTCACTACAGTGCATTCGGAAAGTATTCAGACCCCTTGACCTTTTCCACATTTTACAGCCTTATTCTAAAATGGATTTTTAAAAAATGTCAATCATCAATCTACACAGAATACCCCATAATGACAAAGCAAAACCAGATTTTTTGCAAATGTATTACAAATAAAAACAGAAATACCGTATTTACATAAGTATTCAGACCCTTTGCTATGAGACTTGAGCTCAGGTGCCTGTGGTAAATTCAATTGATTGGACATGATTTGGAAAGGCACACACCTGTTTATTTAAGGTCCCACAGTTGACAGTGCATGTCAGAGCAAAAACCAAGCCATGAGGTCGAAGGAATTGTCCGTAGAGCTCCGAGACAGGATTGTGTCGAGGCACAGATCTGGGGAAGGGTACCAAAAAATGTCTGCAGCTTTGAAGGTCCCCAAGAACACAGTGGTCTCCATCATTCTTAAATGGAAGAAGTTTGGAACCACCAAGACTCTTCCAAGAGCTGGCCGCCTGGCCAAACTGAGCAATCGGAGGAGAAGGGCCTTGGTCAGGGAGGTGACCAAGAACCCTATGGTCACTCTGACAGAGCTCCAGAGTTCCTCTGTGGAGATGGCAGAACCTTCCAGAAGGACAACCATTTCTGTGCCAAAAGGCACCTAAATGACTCTCAGACCATGAGAAACAAGATTCTCTGGTCTGATCCTGAGGCCGCATTTATTGTAGCTGGGGATTTTAACAAAGCAAATTTGAGGAAAACGCTACAAAAGTTCTATCAACACATTGACTGTATTACTCGCTTAGGAAAAACACTAGACCACTGCTACTCGCCTTTTCGAGATGCCTACAAAGCCCTCCCCCGCCCTCCCTTCGGCAAATTAGATCATGACTCCATTTTGCTCCTCCCTTCCTATAGGCAGAAACTCAAACAGGAAGTACCCGTGCTAAGGTCTATTCAACCCTGGTCTGACCAGTCAGCATCCATGCTTCAAGATTGTTCTGATCACGCGGACTGGGATATGTTCTGGGTAGCCTCTGAGAATAACATGACGTATACACGGACACGGTGAATGAGTTAATCAGGAAGTGTATAGGGGATGTTGTTCCCACGGTGACTATTAAAACCTACCCAAACCAGAAACCGTGGATAGATGGCAGCATTTCGCGCAAAACTGAAAGCGCGAACCACTGCATTTAACCATGGCAAGGTGACTGGGACTATGGTCTAATAAAAACGGTGTAGTTATTCCCTCCGTAAGGCAATCAAACAGGCAAAACGTCAGCACAGAGACAAAGTGAAGTCGCAATTCAATGGCTCAGACACGACACATATGTGGCAGGATCTACAGACAATCACAGATTGCAAAGGGAAAACCAGCCACGTCACGGACACCGACGTCTTGCTCCTGGACAAGCTAAACTACTTCTTAGCCCGCTTTGAGGATAACACAGTGCCACCGACGCGGCCCACTCCCAAGGACTGTGGGTTCTCGTTCTCCGTGGCCGACGTGAGTAAGACATTTAAACCTGTTAACCCACGCAATGCTGCCGGCCCAGACGGCATCCCTAGCCGCGTCCTCAGAGCATGCGCAGACAGCTGGCTGGAGTGTTTACGGACATGTCCCCACTTGCTTCAAGATGTCCACCATTGTTGCTGTACCTGAGAAAGCAAGGTAGATCCACAGACGATGCAATCGCCATCGCACTGCACACTGCCCTATCCCATCTGGACAAGAGGAATACCTTTGTCAGAATGCTGTTCATTGACTATAGCTCAGCCTTCAACACCATAGTAACCTCCAAGCTCATCATTAAGCTCGGGCCCTGGGTCTGAACCCCGCCCTGTTCAACTGGGTCCTAGACTTCCTGATGGGCTGCCCCCAGGTGGTGAAGGTAGGAAACAACACCTCCACTTCGCTGATCCTCAACACAGGGGCCCCACAAGGGTGCGTGCTCAGCCCCCTCCTGTACTCCCTGTTCACCCACGACTGCATGGCCACGCACACCTCCAACTCAATCATCAAGTTTGCAGACGACACAACAGTAGTAGGCCTGATTACCAACAATGACGAGACAGTTTACAGGGAAGAAGTGAGGGCCCTGGCGGAGTGGTGCCAGGAAAATAACCTCTCCCTCAACGTCAACAAAACGAAGGAGCTGATCGGACTTCAGGAGATAGCAGAGGGAGCACGCCCCCATCCACATCGACGGGACCGCAGTGGAGAAAGTGAAAAGCTTCATGTTCCTCTGCATACACATCACTGACAATCTGAAATGGTCCACCCACACAGACAGTGTGGTGAAGAAGGCGCAACAGTGCCTCTTCAACCTCAGGAGGCTGAATACATTTTGCTTGGCCCCTAAGACCCTCACAAACTTTTACAGATGCACAATTGAGAGGATCCTGTCGGGCCTTATCACCGCCTGGTACGGCAACTTTACTGCGCGCAACCGCAGGGCTGTCCAGAGGGTGGTGCGTTCTGCCCAACGCATCACCGGGGGCACACCGCCTGCCCTCCAGGACACCTACAGCACACGATGTCACAGGAAGGCCATCAACCACCCGCGCCACGGCCTATTCACCCCACTATCATCCAGAAGGCAAGGTCAGTACAGGTGCATCAAAGCTGGGACAGAGAGACTGAAAAACAGGTTCTATCTCAAGGCCATCAGACTGTTAAATAGCCATCACTATGTAAATGTGATATTTCCCTTTTTTATTTTTAATAAGTTTGCAAAATTTTCTAAAAACTTGTTTTTACTTTGTCGTTATGGGGTATAGTGTGTAGATTGATTGATGGGGAAAAAAACAATTTAATCAATTTTAGAAGAAGGGCTGTAACGTAACAAAATGTGGAAAAGTCAAAGGGTCTGAATACTTTCCGAATGCACTGTATATGTCTGCTGCAGAGAGACAAGAAAATTAGTTTTGATCAGTCATGGAAATAAAAGTGCTAGAAACATGTTGACACACTATTCAAAAAGATGTAGAGCAAGTTATAGGATAAGAAGTATATGAGTTTCAGTGCAGGTACAGCCAACTAGTGCTAACGCTACCTGCCAACTTATTTTTTTTAAACAAATCGATAGTCTGAGTCATGGTATCGATATAATATAGTCCAAAATAATATTGCGATATGTAACTGTATCGATTTCCCCCCCATCACTTTCGAAAAATCCACATATCTTTTAAGATATTTTCTAATTTCTCTCCCGCATGAGGGAGAATTATGAAAGTTCATGCAAGTAACAAGTATAGATAGACCTACCATTTAGTTAGTGTTTTTACTGAGAACAATTTTGTTTGAGTTGTATTACCAAATCGGTAACAGTGACCGAAAAATCTGCAACAGAATGACTTCAATTGAATTGGCCACAATGGGGAAATCATATTTTGTCCCAAACCACAGTTGCAGTAGAGTATGGTACAGTAGAGAAAAATCTGCAACAGAATGACTTCAATTGAATTGGCCACAATGGGGAATCCTATTTGTCCCAAACCACAGTTGCATTAGAGTATGGTACAGTAGAGCACAAATGAGTAGGGTACAGTATAATATAATATACTGTACTTGATTCTACTTTTCTGTACTCTACTCTACTGAACTATACGCTACTCTTTACTGTACTCTACAGTACCAGGGGTCGCGTTAACACAGAATTCTGCATATTTAAAATAAAAAATAAAACACATCTTGCTGTGTTTTTTAAACGCACATCTAAAATGCTTCTTATTGTAATATCTGCTTCAGACAAATGTTGTGCTTCAGTTGCACTTCTCCACTCGGATGAGAAATCTGTGCTGTCGTCGTCAGACTAAGCAAATTCACGTATTCACGAACGGGCATTCTATCAGCAGACAGCATTCTGACTGATGTGTAGCTAATTTTCGGTGTATTTTTCTCCTTTAAAATGCAAGATTATCTTCAAGCAAAACATTAGGGAATATAGATGGCTACATTCATTCTATGATAAACATTAGAAATATGATGCACGTGCTTCGTTTTGCAAAAAAATACCTAGCTTTTTCATTGTAAGCTAATTGACTTGTGTGGCTGCTAGTCAAGTAGCGTTGCACTTCTGTTGTCATCTGATGAAAATGAAGCCATTTTCTGCCGAATGTTTGGCATTAATTTATTTTTGTGATGATAAACCATAGTTGCACGCCCCTGATTACTCTATTGAAGCAAAAAAACACTGTTGACTTTTAATATCGACTTTTTTATGGTCTGCGTTTTTAAAATGCAGATTTCTGAAAGCTAATGTGACCCTGCTGTACTAAACTATACTCTGCTGTACTGAACTATACTCTTCTGTGCTGTACTCTACTCTGCTATACTGTGATGTCCAAACTTGTGGAACATAGTCACGTCTAAGATTGGCAGATATTTGGTCCGGTCTGGACCAACCAAATTTGGTCTTGTTTGGGGGCCGAGCTCATTAGAATGATAGCCAGTGTGTAGAATAATACCCGAACACGCAAAGGAGGATATTACTTTTTTCTACCTTTGTACATCACCATGAAGAGAATGACATTTGTGGGTCTTTCTATAAATAATTGGGCCAGTGTGTCACATTTGGATCAACATTTCTAAATGGTTTGAAACAAAAAATTTAAAGGATTTTCATGCCGTTCCACATGTGTACTTAGAGGGAAAAAAAGTGAATATATGCAAATTGGCCATAACTCCACCTATACAACAACATAGGCCTAGGACTATACATCCTTTAAGCAGGGTTCATAAAGACATGGCAAGTCAAATTCAAGGACTTTCACTGAATTTTTCAAGCACTTCATTGTAATTTATATAATTGTACATAATATGGAATCCCCCCCAAAGCATGCAAAAAGTAGCCATTACCACTTTAAGAATAATACTTTTTAGGCCTTGCCAATGCATTGAAAGAATGTAATAATAATTTCACTATCATTATTACATTCTAAAATATGTGAGAATAATGTGGACATTGCCTGACTAAATAAATTGGATGCATGCATGGTGATTTTTCTGTAGCCTATGTGGTCGACACAGGGACATATAATAAAGCCATGAATAGCGGTAGCATTAATCTCACCATTTGAATCTCACCATCGCTGTTTTTATAATGAGAAAGTTACCAAAAACCAGTTTCCTTTTTAAAGCTGGAAAAAAATATTTATCTTTACAATTATTCTGACATTTCACATTCTTAAAATAAAGTGGTGATCCAAACTGACCTAAAACAGGGAATTTTTACTTGGATTAAATGTCAGGAATTGTGAAAAACTGAGTTTAAATGTATGTGGCGAAGGTGTATGTAAACTTCTGACTTCATCTGTATGTGTTTATTTACGTTTTATATTGTCTATGTTTATAAGTTGTTATGTCTGATATTTGTCTCAAACATTGTTCCCCCCTGCTGCTGTCTTGGTTGGACCAGGTCTCTCTTGAAAAAAAGATTTTATCTTAATGAGAAACCTGGATAACAAAAAAACACTGCATCATTTGGCAGGACCCCTAAGCAAGCATTTCACAGTAAAGTCTGCGCACCTTGTATTCGCCGCATGTGACATAACATTTGATTTGATTGTCATTGGATGGGTTACTTTTAAAATATTGATCAGCAGCACCAGGTCTCAATGGTGTTTGTCACCTTTCTAATTAGTTGAGCTGTTATTTCAGCCCATGTGAAAGGCAGCTATTACATTTGCATTTAAATCCACACCCATAATCTCAGATTGTTCTGGAATCGTTTCTGTAGTTAGAAACAGATAAGATAAGCATTCCGGAAACATTATTTTGTTGAAATATAATTAGATCTCTGTGAAATTAAGCTGATTGATTGCACCCAAATTGGCCATTTTAATTTATAGGATTCATATAATATTAAGTAATTATAGTACCTAACATTTTTCTAACAATGAGTTAGATATTAGGAATCTAAAGAAGTGGTCAAAAGCCATCCATGGACCCCCCACATCTTACGCCAATTCCACCCCAACAACAAGGATATAGTACCAGTTCTCTATGGTTGAAAAGTAGTATGAAGCTGCGGCTTGGAGTATTGCTTCTATGTAATGTATTCTCAGTGAATTTGGTGGGTTTTTTCCCCTCAGTTCAGATAAATTAGTAATTGAAGTTGTTGGGTTTATGCCCCATTTTAAAGAATCTCCCCCATTGTTAAAGGGATAGTTCACCCCAATTGCATAGCATGGGCTGCTGTCATACCTGGTCCATGGACTGTTTACAGGGTAAGAAAACCAATATGTACTTTTAAGAAAAGGGATAATTCTTTAAAGTATCATCTAATAACAGGAACAGCACCTGGTAATATCAGGATGTAGGATGGGACATAAACCCAACATCTTCATTTACTAATTTCTCTGAACTGAGGGGAAAAAACCCCACCAAATTTACTGAGAATACATTACATAGGATGAAGAAAAAATACTCCGAGCCGCAGCTCCATACTACTTGATACTGTATACTCGTTGACCATCCAAATCGGATGTTAGGTACTATAATATATGAATATACAGTGGGGAGAACAAGTATTTGATACACTGCCGATTTTGCAGGTTTTCCTACTTACAAAGCATGTAGAGGTCTGTCATTTTTATCATAGGTACACTTCAACTGTGAGAGACGGAATCTAAAACAAAAATCCAGAAAATCACATTGTATGATTTTTAAGTAATTAATTTGCATTTTATTGCAACCCAACTAACAAATGAATGCAATATGCCTACTGAGGTGGTTTTTTTTCTCTCACTACCATCGATAATGGGCATGTAGGCCTAGTGGCTAGCCTTAGTTCAAAGAGTTGATTGAATAGTATGCCATAGGCTAATACCTCTAAGTAGTTTGTCTAGTCAAAGGGTTAATCAGTTCCTAGGCTACCTCAGGGAAGGAGCATTGGTTCTGTAGTCAAACTAGTCGTTTAACAACATTGTTTCCTTTGTTGGGACATGTTGGAGGGTTTGTCTGAAGATTATTGATGCTCCCTCATAACTGTTCTAATGCTCACTCACAGCAACACACACCCAACGTGTGTGTGTGTATATATATATATATATATATATATATATATATATATATATATATATATATATATATATATATATATATATTGTGTGTTTGTATATACAGTATCTCACAAAAGTGAGTACACCCCTCACATTTTTGTAAATATTTGAGTATATCTTTTCATGTGACAACACTGAAGAAATGACACTTTGCTACAATGTAAAGTAGTGAGTGTACAGCTTGTATAACAGTGTACATTTGCTGTCCCCTCAAAATAACACAACACACAGCCATTAATGTCTAAACCGCTGGCAACAAAAGTGAGTACACCCCTAAGTGAAAATGTCCAAATTGGGCCCAAAGTGTCAATATTTTGTGTGGCCACCATCATTTTCCAGCACTGCCTTAACCCTCTTGGGCATGGAGTTCACCAGAGCTTCACAGGTTGCCACTGGAGTCCTCTTCCACTCCTCTATGACGACATCACGGAGCTGGTGGATGTTAGAGACCTTGCACTCCTCCACCTTCCGTTTGAGGATGCCCCACAGATGCTCAATAGAGTTTAGGTCTGGAGACATGCTTGGCCAGTCCATCACCTTTACCCTCAGCTTCTTTAGCAAGGCAGTGGTCATCTTGGAGGTGTGTTTGGGGTCGTTATCATGTTGGAATACTGCCCTGCGGCCCAGTCTCCGAAGGGAGGTGATCATGCTCTGATTCAGTATGTCACAGTACATGTTGGCATTCATGGTTCCCTCAATGAACTGTAGCTCCCCAGTGCCGGCAGCACTCATGCAGCCCCAGACCATGACACTCCCACCACCATGCTTGACTGTAGGCAAGACACACTTGTCTTTGGACTCCTCACCTGGTTGTCGCCACACACGCTTGACACCATCTGAACCAAATACGTTTATTTTGGTCTCATCAGACCACAGGACATGGTTCCAGTAATCCATGTTCTTAGTCTGCTTGTCTTCAGCAAACTGTTTGCGGGCTTTCTTGTGCATCATCTTTAGAAGAGGCTTCCTTCTGGGACGACAGCCATGCAGACCAATTTGATGCAGTGTGCGGCGTATGGTCTGAGCACTGACAGGCTGACCCCCCACCCCTTCTTTGGTCGACCATGGCGAGGCATGTTCTGAGTGGAACCTGTCCTGTTAACCGCTATATGGTCTTGGCCACCGTGCTGCAGCTCAGTTTCAGGGTCTTGGCAATCTTCTTATAGCCCAGACCATCTTTATGTAGAGCAACAATTATTTTTTTCAGATCCTCAGAGAGTTCTTTGCCATGAGGTGCCATGTTGAACTTCCAGTGACCAGTATGAGGGAGTGTGAGAGCGATGACACCAAATGTATACACACCTGCACCCCATTCACACCTGAGACCTTGTAACACTAACGAGTCACATGACACCGGGGAACGAAAATGGATAATTGGGCCCATTTTGGACATTTTCACTTAGGGGTGTACTCACTTTTGTTGCCAGCGGTTTAGACATTAATGGCTGTGTGTTGAGTTATTTTGAGGGGACAGCAAATGTACACTGTTGTACAAGCTGTACACTCACTTCTTTATATTGTAGCAAAGTGTCATTTCTTCAGTGTTGTCACATGAAAAGATATACTCCAATATTTACAAAAATGTGAGGGGTGTATTCACTTTTGTGAGATACTGTATATGCGAGAGAAAAAACACATAGGGGATTGGAAGTGATGCAGACAATTACATTGATGGAAGTTACAATCTATCTGCAATATTAAAGCTAATCTACCCCCAAGAAAGAAAAATAAAATAATAATAATACACACACCCGACCATTGCCTAAACGGCCTAAGCTTGGCTAATAACAAGTCTTCCATTAGCCTAGCCTGTTCAGTCATACGTATTTCTATAGGTATGTAGATTTAATTCTTTCAGTCATGTATTTTTTCTTCATTTTGTATGATCCTCGTAACCTGCAAGAATGTTAAGCCCAGTTCATTTTCCACTTTCCACTCTTTACCACTCAGACATTTTGGGCTAGTGTAATCGTCCTCTCTAACTGCCTCATGTTCCCATATACATTAGCCTACACACTTTCTCAAAGCTCAAATTCTCCTGCTGCAAGACTACAGATGTAATTTCAGTTGCCTGTTGATCGTGGTCAGTCTTGGGTTTCATTGATTAAATAGCTCAACATTTACATTTGCCTCAGAGGGGCCAGAGTTATGAATAAGCCCCATTTCCACATCATGTTTACACAAAAGATTAGTCCAAAGCTCCATCTCGTGATCCCACAATCATTCGTTAGAAAAATAACCTTTACATTTTTTGTCTTATCTTTTCTAGGAAATGCAGTTTGCTCGGAGCACAACGAGAACGTTTACGTATCAGGGATTTCTAATGGTAAGTTGGTTTAGCCTAGATCACATGATCATTTATCTCTGAGCTCGTAATGTAGGCAGTAACTCAGCCCTTGTTTTTGTCTGCGAAGAACCAAACAGTACATTTGTTGCCCACAGCAGACTTTCAGAATAGCCTTTTTGCATGAACAGAACACTGTTCATTTCCTATACCCTCGGGACACTAGAAATGGAAGACATTGAAATAGCATTTAGTGTGTCAGTGGTGAGTTAGTACTGTGTTTTTAGTCGGGAGTGGGATAGGCCTACTCTCTTGGCTTGCTGTGCACTCTTCCAATGCACATTAAGCGGCGTTACGGAGGCCTGAAAACGACTTCTGTCTTTTTTTTTACCTCCCGTTTTGAACCTTTTCTTAGCGTTTTAACCCACAGTAGGCCAACAAATGTATATTATTACCCAACAATTACAAAAAAATTGACAGTGAGCATAAATTGTATTTCCATAGCTGCACACATCAATATCTATTGGAGTAGGGAAATTATTTTGAGGCTGATTTTATTTATTTTTCCCTGTCACAAACTCTCTGGTGGTTGTGGCATCTAGCCTAATGAAAAACGAGGATAATACATTTTTTGAATAAATAATATTTTATTTTAGCCTATACAGTGCCTTCAGAAAGTATTCACACACCTTTACTTTTTCCACATTTTGTTGTTACAGCCTGAATTTAAAAATTTATTATATTGAGATTTTGTTTCACTGATCTACAGACAATACCCCATAATGTCAAAGTGGAATTTTGTTTCTAGAAATTAATCAAAAAATGAAAAGCTGAAATGTCTTAAGTCCATAAGTATTCAACCCCATTTGTTATGGCAAGCCTAAGTAAGTTCAGGATAAAAAATGGGCTTAACAAATCACAGAAGTTGCAAACTCATTCTGTTTTCAATAATATGTGGTTAACATGATTTTTGAAATACTACCCCATCTCTGTAAGGTTCCTCAATCGAGTAGTGAATTTCAAGCACAGGTTCAACCACACAGACCAGGGAGGTTTTCAATACCTCGCAAAGAAGGACACCGATTGGTAGATGTGTAACAATAAAAAAAAGCAGACGCTGATTATCCTTTTGAGCATGGTGAAGTTATGAATTAGGCTTTGGATGGTGTATCAATACACCTAGCCACAATAAAGAAACATGCGTCCTTCCTAACTCAGTTGCCGGAGAGGAAGGAAACTGCTCAGGGATTTCACAATGAGGCCAATGGTGATTTTAACAGTTACAGAGTTTAATGGTTGTGATATGAGAACTGAGGATGGATCAACAACATTGTAGTTACTACACATACTAACCTAAATGACAGAGTGAAAAGGAAGCCTGTACAGAATAAAAAAATATTCCAAAACATGCATCCTGTTTGCAACAAGGCACTTAAGTAATACTGCAAAAAATGTGAGAAGCAATAGACTTTTTGTCCTGAAATGTTTAGGGCAAGTCCAACACATCACTGAGGACCACTCTTCATATTTTCAAGCATGGTGGTGTCTGCATCATGTTATAGGTATGCTTGTCATCGGCAATTACTAGGGAGTTTTTTTTAGGATAGAAAGACACGGAATGCAGCTAAGCACAGGCATAATCCTAAAGGAAAACCTGGTTGTCTTCTTTCCAACAGACACTGGGAGATGAATGCACTTTTCAGCAGTACAATAACCTAAAACACAAGGCCAAATATACACTGAACACCTTCCAAATATTGAGTTGCACCCCCTTTTGCCCTCAGAACAGCCTCAATTCGTCGAAGCGTGGACTCTACAAGGTGTCAAAAGCATTCCACAGGGATGCTGGCCCATGTTGACTCCAATGCTTCCCACAGTTGTGTCAAGTTGGCTCGATCACTTTTGGGTGGTGGACCATTCTTGATACACACAGAAAACTGTTGAGCGTGAAAAATCCAGCAATGTTGCAGTTCTTGACAGACTCAAACCGGTGCGCCTGGCACCTACTACCATACCCCTTTCAAAGGGCTCTCTGCTTCCTCCCTGAAGCGGTACCGGTGCACAGTCCTCAATACGTCATCAGAGTGCGCAGCTGAACACTGTATGCTGGAAACACTCTGTTTGTTGTTTTTGACAAAAAAATAACCAATCTTCGTTAGATATAAATACTGAACTTGTTTTTGCATGGATTCCTTGACACAGTTAGCTTTTAACAGCTAGGACTGCTATTTCTTGTCCCGGAATCCTGCTTAACAGAGCTGCTTACCTTAGCTAGCAGCTAAGCTAGCTAGCCATCAAGCTAACAAAGTTAGTCCCAGATGAGTTTTGCAATGGAGCCCTTTTTGTCTGGAGAAGTAAATGAACGGTTCTAGTACTGTAGGAGCTGTATCTACTACGCATTGTTTCGGGACAAACTGGATCCCTCAGAGTTCCAATGTAGCAATTGTTTGCTTGCTGAGGATTATAGGATTGAAGTGGCTTCCTTGATCAAGCAGATCGCCAGCCTACGTAAGAAACTTGGGAAAACGCAGATTGGAATGTTTACCTTTTCTACGCCGGTGGCTGGACAGTGTTCGCGCTTGTTTTGATGCATCTCTGCCTTGCTGTTTGTTGTTATCCGACTGGCTGGTGTTGCCCGGAGTTCGTTCGACAGGGGAGCCTTCTCCTGTCTCTCCTCCCCCATCTGATAGCGGAGTCGAAGGAGCAAAGCAAGAGGAGCATGCAAATCAACGATGGTCGCATGTCACGAGCCGTGGAATCTGATGACAGTGGCCTCCTGTAAAGCTGGCTAAACTCCCCCCGACAGGCCCGGAGCGGATACAAACAACTAATAGTTTCGCCGCCCTGGAGCCTGATCTTCACCTTCGTTGCTTGGAGTACCTGTGTCTACGGCCGCTGTGCCTACTCATTCCCCTACGATTTCGAAGTCGGCGTTGGCAATCTTCCGTCCCTACTCTGGATCAGGCGGGCCTGCACCAGGCACCGGGAGCTACGGGCTCAAGTTATCCTGCCTGTCGCCCGTCCTGTGAAGTGTGGGAGCGGGCGGATTTCCTCGTCCTTCTCGCCAGCCGTGATTTGGGCAGCTCCATGATAAGAAATGTGACTGATCCTGGTGCAAAAACAATGTCCTATCCCGGAGCTCGAGTAAATTACATTACTAAGCTGCTCCTGAATGTTCTATGCCAGGACATGGGAATCGATTCCATCGTAGTCCATGTGGGTTTTAATGACATCATGAAGTGCAGCTCTGAACAGGATTTTAAAGAGCTGATTGATTCTCTGCTAGACACTAATAAAAGACCCATCATATCTGGCCCTGTGCCCTCTTTGAATCGTACGCTTTAGCCGGATTCTTTCTCTTCACAACTGGCTACGTGATTATTGCTGCTCAATGGGTGTAACTTTTGTTGACAATTTCGATACCTTTTGGAAACAAAACATGTTTTATAAGGAGGATGGATAATAGATAATACCCTTTGATACAGTGGTAGCAATGCATACATTTTACATTTTAGTCATTCAGCATTCATGCATTTTTTCGTACTGGTCCCCCGTGGGAATCGAATCCACAACCCTGGCATTGCAAGTGCCACGCTCTACCAACTGAGTGTAAGGACATCAGGGATAAAATTGTGTTAAGGAGTGGCTCCGTAAGAAGCATCTCAAGGTCCTGGAGTGGCCTAGCCAGTCTCCAGACCTGAACCCAATAGAAAATCTTTGGAGGGAGCTGAAAGTCCGTATTGCCCAGCGACAGCCCCGAAACCTGAAGGATCTGGAGAAGGTCTGTATGGAGGAGTGGGCCAAAATCCCTGCTGCAGTGTGTGCAAACCTGGTCAAGACCTACAGGAAACGTATGATCTCTGTAATTGCAAACAAAGGTTTCTGTACCAAATATTAGGTTCTGCTTTTCTGGTGTATCAAATACTTATGTCATGCAATAAAATGCAAATGAATTACTTAAAAATCATACAATGTGATTTTCTGGATTTTTGTTTTAGATTCTGTCTCTCACAGTTGAAGTGTACTTATGATAAAAATTACAGACCTCTACATGCTTTGTAAGTAGGAAAACCTGCAAAATCGGCAGTGTATCAAATACTTGTTCTCCCCACTGTATGTAATATCAACAGAGAGGTATATTTTCTGGGTGATTTTCAATATTGACTGGCTTTCATCAAGCTGCCCAGTAAAGAAAAAGCTTCAAACTGTAACCAGTGCCTGCAACCTGGTTCAGGTTATCAGTCAACCTACCAGGGTAGTTACAAACAGCACATGAAATCATCAACATGTATTGATCACATCTTTACTAATGCTGCAGACATTTCCTTGAAAGTAGTATCCAGATTCATTGAATGTTGTGATCACAATATAGTACTGATATCTACGAAAACCAAAGTCATATGAGGTTATGCAATACGTTTTGTAGTGATTCCTATGTTGTTGATGTAAATAATATTTGTATGTCTGTGGTGTGTAATGAGTAGCAACCACACGCTGCGCTTGACAAATTTATGAAATTGGTTATTCCAGTTACTAATAAGCGTGCACCCATTAAGAAAATGACTGTAAAAACTGTTAAATCCCCATGGATTGATGAAGAATTGAAAAATTGTGTGGTTGAGAGGGCTGAGGCAAATATGTCTGGCTGCACAACCAATTGGCAAACATACTGCAAATTGATCAAATCATGTGACTAAACTGAATAAAAATATATTATACTATGAAACAAAGATGATTGATAGTAAAAAGCTCTGGAGCACCTTAAATGAATTTTTTGGCAAAAAGGCAAGCTCAGCTCCATCATTCATTGAATCAGATTGCTCATTCATTACAAAACCCACTGACATCGCCAATTACTTTTTAATGATTTTTTTCTTTGGCAAGATTAGCAAACTAAGGCATGACATGCCAGCAACAAACGCTGACACCACACAAGTATAACTGATCAAATTTTACATTCCGTAATGTGAGTGTGGAAGAGGTGCATTTTTTTGTTACCTATGAACAATGATAAGCCAGCGGGGTCTGACAACGGGGGAATTGAACCCACAACCCTGGCGTTGCAAGTGCCATGCTCTACCAACTGAGCTACAAGAGGCCTAAGAATAGTAAAGCCCCATTTACTGGCTCAAATCACCGACCAATCTGCCTGTTACCAACCCTTAGTAAACATCTGGAAAAAATGGTGTTTGACCAGATACAATGCTATTTTACAGTAAACAAATTGACAACAGACTTTCAGCACGCTTATAGGGAAAGACATTCAACAAGCACAGCACTTACACAAATGCCTGATGATTGCCTGAGAGAAATTGATAATAAAAAGATTGTGGGGGCTGTTTTGTTAGACTTCAGTGCAGCTTTTGACATTATCGATCGTAGTCTGCTGCTGAAAAAACGTATGTGTTATGGCTTTGCACCCCCTGCTATGTTGTGGATAAAAAGTTACCTGTCTAACAGTACACAGAGGGTGTTCTTTAATGGAAGCCTCTCCAGGAATTCCCCAGGGCAGCTGTCTAGGCCCCTTGCTCAACTAAATCTTGTAATACAGGTCCAGACAAACGCATACGCACTCCACAGATGAACATTGTGGTATTGTTGTATGGTGGTATCTTGTATTTTGTGTTGTGGATGTGTAGTGGAGTAGCGATGTTATATGATGTACTGTTTTATCTTTTGTTTTGTAAGTGTCTTGATGTGTTTTCATCCCAGGAAGGGTAGCTGCTGCCATCCCTAATAAAATACTAATATTTTGTCTTGCCTGTTCGTCCTCCGAATGGAGAACATACACAATCTATGTCTCAATTGTTTCAAGGCTTAAAAATCCTTATTGATCGTGTCTCCTGATCACACCTATAAGAGCCTCCAGGCTTCCTTCATAACGGTCAATGTTGAATGAGGAAAAAAAAGAATTACAGGGGCAGTTTGGTAAAACTAATCCCGTCCGAATCGTCCACTAGAAAAACGGACATGCTGGGGTAATAATTACATAACCGACGTTCTATAGTAATACTAGTCCCGTGCAAATAGGGCTTAAGTCATGGAAAGAGCAGGTGTTCTTAATGTTTTGTACACTGTGTAGAAAATCTATGGCAAGACTTGAAAATGGCTGTCTAGCAATTATAAACAACCAACTTGACAGAGCTTGAAGAATTTAAAACATAATAATGGGCAAACATTGTACAATCCAGATGTGCAAAGCTCTTAAGAGAGATGTTTCTAACTTATCTAATCAAAATATATTTGTTTTTTCAGTATTTTGTGTAGATTGTTGACCAAAAATGAAAATTAAATATATTTTAATCCCACTTTGTAACACAACAAATGTGGAAGAAGTCAAGGGGTGTGAATTCTTTCTGAAGGTCCTCAGATGTTATTATATTTTCCCATAGTCTGATCAGACCATGCAACAAAGGGTGGTAGAAAATCAGTAGCCTACAACAACCTAGCGTGATGGACAATGTTTATTGGCAGGTGGAATCATGTCCAATTAGGTTGCAAGGTAAAAATGGTAGGCGGGATCAGGTCGGCCCAGTATTTTCCAATGAGTTTGCATGGTGGGTCCAAGCACATGCACATCAGTTTTTTTTTTATACTCTCTTTTTGCACACACTGCAGGGTTCGAGAACAATGACATGATACACATATGTAAGATGGTACACAATCTTTGGTGACCCGTTTTGGCTTGTGAGCACTACTTTCAAAACTACCGAACAAAATGATCACTTTAAATGCTAATTTGTGTGTGTTTGTGTGTGCGCACGCCTGTCTGTCTCCGTGTGTGTCTGTCCAGCCTGTGGAGATGTGGTAGAGCAGATCAGGGCGTCCAGTGGAGTGATCACCAGCCCTGGCTGGCCCTTCCAGTACCCTTCCAGGATCAACTGCAGCTGGAACATCAGGGCTAGCCCTGGGGAAATCATCACCATCAGGTACAGTTCTACACCATCTCCTCTACACAATCTATACCTTCTCTCCCTAAGCACTTCTCTCCATCGCTCCCCCTCTTCCTCTCTTCTCTTCCTCCTCTCCTCCCTCAGTATCTCCCTCCCTCAGTCTGTACCCTCATCAGCCAAGCTGGATACATACACTGCCCACACACTAAGAGGGCCTGATTAATGCAGGGGCTGAAGCCCCCGGGCCCAAGCCCGTAGGGGGCACTTGAGGCAGGAAATGATTATATATACAGTACCAGTCAAAAGTTTGGACACTCCTACTCATTCCAGGGTTTTCCTTTAATTGTACAGTTTTCTACGTTGTAGAATAATAGTGAAGACATCAAAACTATGAAAATAAGAAATCATGTAGTAACCAAAAAAGTGTTAAACAAATCAAAATATATTTTCTATTTGAGATTCTTCAAATAGCCACCCTTTGCCTTGATGACAGCTTTGCACACTCTTGGCATTCTCTCAACCAGCTTTGAGGTAGTCACCTGGAATGCATTTCAATTAACAGGTGTGCCTTCTTAAAAGTTAATTTGTGGAATTTCTTTCCTTAAAGTGTTTGAGCCAATCAGTTGTGTTGTGGCAAGGTATACAGAAGATAGCCCTATTTGGTAAAAGACCAAGTCCATATTATGGCAAGAACAGCTCAAATAAGCAAAGAGAAACGACAGTCCATCATTACCTTAAGACATGAAGGTCAGTCAATACGGAACATTTCAAGAACTTTGAAAGTTTCTTCAAGTGCAGTCGCAAAAACCATCAAGCGCTATGATGAAACTGGCTCTCTTGAGGATCGCCACAGGAATGGAAGACCCATAGTTACCTCTGCTGCAAAGGATAAGTTCATTAGAGTTACCAGCCTCAGAAATTGCAGCCCAAATAAATGCTTCTCAAAGTTCAAGTAACAGACACATCTCAACATCAACTGTTCAGAGCGGACTGTGTGAATCAGGTCTTCATGGTCGAATTGCTGCAAAGAAACCACTACTAAAGGACACCAATAAGAAGAAGAGACTTGCTTGGGCCAAGAAACACGAACAATGGATGTTAGACCGGTGGAAATGTGTCCTTTGGTCTGGAGTCCAAATTTGATATTTTTGGTTCCAACCGCCGTGTCTTTGATCTCCGCATGTGTATTTCCCACCGTAAAGCATGGAGGAGGAGGTGTTATGGTGTGGGGGTGCTTTGCTGGTGACACTTGGTGATTTATTTAGAATTCAAGGCACACTTAACCAGCATGGCTACCACAGCATTCTACAGCGATATGCCATCCCATCTGGTTTGGGCTTAGTGGGACTATCATTTGTTTTTCAACAGGACAATGACACAACATACCTCCAGGGTGTGTAAGGGCTATTTTACCAAGAAGGAGGGTGATGGAGTGCTGCATCAGATGACCTGGCCCCCACAATCCCCCGACCTCAACCCAATAGAGATGGTTTGGGATGAGTCAGACCGCAGAGTGAAGGAAAATCAGCCAACAAGTGCTCAGCATACAGTGGGGAAAAAAAGTATTTAGTCAGCCACCAATTGTGCAAGTTCTCCCACTTAAAAAGATGAGGCCTGTAATTTTCATCATAGGTACACGTCAACTATGACAGACAAATTGAGGAAAAGAAATCCAGAAAATCACATTGTAGGATTTTTAATGAATTTATTTGCAAATTATGGTGGAAAATAAGTATTTGGTCACCTACAAACAAGCAAGATTTCTGGCTCTCACAGACCTGTAACTTCTTCTTTAAGAGGCTCCTCTGTCCTCCACTCGTTACCTGTATTAATGGCACCTGTTTCAACTTGTTATCAGTATAAAAGACACCTGTCCACAACCTCAAACAGTCACACTCCAAACTCCACTATGGCCAAGACCAAAGAGCTGTCAAAGGACACCAGAAACAAAATTGTAGACCTGCACAAGGCTGGGAAGACTGAATCTGCAATAGGTAAGCTGCTTGGTTTGAAGAAATCAACTGTGGGAGCAATTATTAGGAAATGGAAGACATACAAGACCACTGATAATCTCCCTCGATCTGGGGCTCCACGCAAGATCTCACCCCGTGGGGTCAAAATGATCACAAGAACGGTGAGCAAAAATCCCAGAGCCACACGGGGGGACCTAGTGAATGACCTGCAGAGAGCTGGGACCAAAGTAACAAAGCCTACCATCAGTAACACACTACGCCGCCAGGGACTCAAATCCTGCAGTGTCAGACGTGTCCCCCTGTTTAAGCCAGTACATGTCCAGGCCCGTCTGAAGTTTGCTAGAGTGCATTTGGATGATCCAGAAGAGGATTGGGAGAATGTCATATGGTCAGATGAAACCAAAATAGAACTTTTTGGTAAAAACTCAACTCGTCGTGTTTGGAGGACAAAGAATGCTGAGTTGCATCCAAAGAACACCATACCTACTGTGAAGCATGGGGGTGGAAAGATCATGCTTTGGGGCTGTTTTTCTGCAAAGGGACCAGGACGACTGATCCGTGTAAATGAAAGAATGAATGGGGCCATGTATCGTGAGATTTTGAGAGAAAACCTCCTTCCATCAGCAAGGGCATTGAAGATGAAACGTGGCTGGGTCTTTCAGCATGACAATGATCCCAAACACACCGCCCGGGCAACGAAGGAGTGGCTTCGTAAGAAGCATTTCAAGGTCCTGGAGTGGCCTAGCCAGTCTCCAGATCTCAACCCCATAGAAAATCTTTGGAGGGAGTTGAAAGTCCGTGTTGCCCAGCGACAGCCCCAAAACATCACTGCTCTAGAGGAGATCTGCATGGAGGAATGGGCCAAAATACCAGCAACAGTGTGTGAAAACCTTGTGAAGACTTACAGAAAACGTTTGACCTGTGTCATTGCCAACAAAGGGTATATAACAAAGTATTGAGAAACTTTTGTTATTGACCAAATACTTATTTTCCACCATAATTTGCAAATAAAATCATAAAAAATCCTACAATGTGATTTTCAGGATTTTTTTTTCTAATTTTGTCTGTCATAGTTGACGTGTACCTATGATGAAAATTACAGGCCTCTCATCTTTTTAAGTGGGAGAACTTGCACAATTGGTGGCTGACTAAATACTTGTTTTCCCCACTGTAGGTGGGAACTCCTTCAAGACTGTTGGAAAAGCATTCCAGGTGAAGCTGGTTGAGAGAATGTCAAAGCTGTCATCAAGGCAAAGGGTGGCTATTTGAAGAATCTCAAATTTGTTTAACACTTTTTTTACTCCATGATTCCATATGTGTTAGTTCCTAGTTTTGATGTCTTCACTATTATTCTACAATGTAAAAATAAAGAAAAACCCTTGAATGAGCAGGTGTGTCCAAACTTTTGACTGGTAGTGTATGTATTCTTTTTTTTTTACTGCAACCGCCAACTACAGGAGCCTGCGCTCAATAAGTGTAGATAGACTGCTGCTGCTCTGCTAATCATCAGATGGGGGAGGAGAGGAGGTAGTGGCCCCTGTGGGGTTGGGTAACTGATTCAGAGCGGGTCCTAGCCTTTTGGGGGCACTAAGCAAGGCAAAATACTTTAGTCGACCCCCTACCATCCGTTCTATTTGCCAACGTGCAATCACTGGAGAATAAACTACACAATAACATTTCCTGCAATTCTACACATTTTTTTCGGTTTTAAAGCTATGTCAATGATATGAGTAAGAGTGACTAACAAAATCAATGGGGGCCCCCTGGAAGTCCGGGCCCCTGGGCACGCGCCCTGCCATGATTACTACATGGTAGGGATGTGATAAATGGTTTAAAAAAAAATAAGAATCTCCATTCAAACAGATTTGTTAGCCCTGCGCGCTAGGTTCGCCTCAGAGTACTAGCCCAGCTGAAATGGCTTGGGTTTGCTGTACTGTAGGCTATAGACCTAGGTGCTGCTGTTTAATGATCTGACGAAGGTCTGTTTAAACCAAATGCTTCGCTCATGAAATTTCAGTGTGCAGAAAGATTTTTCTTCATGTGCTGTATACTGCACATGATAATGCCCTCTCTCGCGCTCATTGCGTGTTCTATGTGGTCCTCTGTAGCTCAGCTGGTAGAGCACGGCGCTTGTAACGCCAAGGTAGTGGGTTCGATCCCCGGGACCACCCATACACAAAAAATGTATGCACGCATGACTGTAAGTCGCTTTGGATAAAAGCGTCTGCTAAATGGCATATTATTATTATTATTATATACGATTTATATGTCTTTGCCTGTCCTTTGAGGTAATGTGTTTTTTATTCATTTTGATGATGCTCTTCAGATTTGCACTCATTGTGCTTGTAGTGTCCTATTTGTTTGCGACGCATCGGTTCATGTATTGTGTTTTCTGTCTGGACCGACCAGAGCGCTGACAGGAACTTGCCATTTCTTTATGCCAGTGCTGTGTCCATGGTTACCAGCACAGAAATAGACCCTCCGTGTTTAGTGGCTAAGAACAAACTGAAAATGCAATCTATCAATGACCATTAATGGGCAACAGAGCTTGTACGCAAACAACACTTGATAAATTCACTAAATTAGCGAAATGTTAGCAATAGGTTAGTAAGTGTTTATACTCAAGTGGTGGTTATACACATTAGTAATATAAGTGGTTATACTCCTGCTTTATGTTTAAGTAAGTCGTGGTTCTACACATTAGTAATATATGTGGTTATACTCCAGCTTGATTTTTAAGTAAAAGAAGTTGATTTATTGGTTAGTCTATCAATGTAAGCTACCCTGGAGGAGGAAAATCACTCAGTTATCGTGAAAAAGGGAGGGGGTAGAAGGATTACTTTATCCTATCCCAGGTATTCCTTAAAGAGGTGGGGTTTCAAATGTCTCCGGAAGGTGGTGAGTGACTCCGCTGTCCTGGCGTCGTGAGGGAGCTTGTTCCACCATTGGGGTGCCAGAGCAGCGAACAGTTTTGACTGGGCTGAGCGGGAACTATGCTTCCGCAGAGGTAGGGGAGCCAGCAGGCCAGAGGTGGATGAACGCAGTGCCCTCGCTTGGGTGTAGGGACTGATCAGAGCCTGAAGGTACGGAGGTGCCGTTCCCCTCACAGCTCCGTAGGCAAGCACCATGGTCTTGTAGCAGATGCGAGCTTCAACTGGAAGCCAGTGGAGTGTGCGGAGGAGCGGGGTGACGTGAGAGAACTTGGGAAGGTTGAACACCAGACGGGCTGCGGCATTCTGGATGAGTTGTAGGGGTTTAATGGCACAGGCAGGGAGCCCAGCCAACAGCGAGTTGCAGTAATCCAGACGGGAGATGACAAGTGCCTGGATTAGGACCTGTGCCGCTTCCTGTGTAAGGCAGGTCGTACTCTCCGAATGTTGTAGAGCATGAACCTACAGATCGGGTCACGCCTTGATGTTAGCGGAGAACGACAGGGTGTTGTCCAGGGTCACGCCAAGGCTCTTCGCACTCTGGGAGGAGGACACAACAGAGTTGTCAACCGTGAATGCACTTATTGTAATTATGTCTCATCCAATGTACTCTAACCCTGGAGGAAAGTCACTCAGTCATATCAGTGAAATACATTGATCCTCTTTATTGTTGGGGGAACTTCTTTCAACTGTTTGCTTTTTTCCAGCATGTACCCTATGAAAGTCGCTCATATCGATGACATCCAATTTACAGACTTCGACTAGCAATGAATGGATTTCTTACCTACCTCAGTTGAATGCACTTATTGTAATTCAAGAGTGTGTATAAAGCTAGAATCCTTAATTGGTGAAACTGCCACGTCCTTTTGGGATATTTCAACAAGTTACTGCAAACAACAAACACTCGAACATCAATGCACGCACAATAGAACAGCAGAATATGTACTGCACATTTTACCACACTGCTAGACACTCCTCTCCATTGTTTCATCAGCAAAACCAAAACGATAACAAAGACGCTGGGGCGAACAGTGGTGCTGTTTCCCAAAATGCGGCTTCGATCTTTAACTTGCTAAAATGTGATATGTACAGTACATTATTCATTTTTACCGCCTGGAAACCTCTTTTAACCCTTTGCCATTTCTCCCCCCAGCTTCCAGGACTTTGAGATCCAGAGCTCTCACCGTTGCAGCCTGGACTGGATCTCCATTGGCACCTACAAGAACCTGGACGGCTACCGGGCATGTGGCTCGTCCATCCCAGCCCCTTACATTTCCTCCCAGGACCACGTGTGGATCAAGTTCCACTCGGACGACATCATGACCGGCAAGGGCTTCAGGCTGTCTTATATAACAGGTAGCACAGCTCGCAGAGTCATGCTATTTATATCTGTCAGCGAGGGCTACTGTACGGTCTGGTCAGAGATGACACCCGGTGTCATGTGGACGGACGTCTACTGGTGGTGAGGATGTCCCCTCCCCCAAGAGAAAAGAGAAAGCAGCTTTTTGTTTTTTTGTCCTCTCGCTATGCATTTCTCTCTGTTGTCTCCAAGCATTGGATTTTCAAATGTTTCTATGACAGAGGATCAGAGGCTCATGGACTGTGTAGGTCTATAAATGAACTTATGAAGAAATTTGGGCTGCTTATATAATGTTGATGGTGCACAGCTTGATCAATAGGCACTATCATTGTACATAATTTAACTAAATGATCCCACATCGTTTTCCCTCGATTATCACTAATGGTAAAACATTTTTAAATGGTCACACAGTACATTAAATGGTGGTATTTCCTAGGGCTGTTGCAGTGACCATATTACCGCCACACCGGCGGTCACGAGTCATGAAGGCAGTCAAATTCCACGTGACCGTTTAGTCTCGCACAAAATAGAATAGATCGACTTTTGTACTATGGGGGATAGAAGATTGACATAGGCTAGTGCTTTTGCTGTTCGTTATGCCTACTCATCTTGTTAGCAGACGAAAAGTAAATGTGGACAGTTCTTCCAATATCTTCAATATGCACCTCGGAATTGGATAAGGACGCACGCAGTTGCGTCCCCGATGTGCCTGTCTTCACTTGTAGCCTGTGAGAAAGACCCGAACACGTGATGGAGAGCCATGTGAGTGAGAGGTGATTCGGAGCGTCCTGCACTCAGGGAGAAGGGCACAACAGCCACTGGCCGCAAATGCACAGATTTTTTTAAGGGTGCATTACGGCCACACATAGGATGCTGCCGTGAAATTCTAGGCATTATCAAGTGCTTGTCAAATTGTGAATGAGTTACTGATGTAGTGTGTACAGCCTGCGCATTAAACAAAGCAGAGCTCATGCCTTTCAAGCAACTTTTTAGAGTCGCATCATGCAGCCTTACAATGTATTAAAAATCAAAACATGTAGCCCAACGTTTGTAGAACAACTAAAGTTACATTAATAACTCTAAATTAAGCATATAGGAATATTTGTTTGTTAACCGCTCAACACAGAATAGCCGCATGTGCGCACTCCCTCAAATCGTTTGGAGAAAATATCCTTTATATTTTATTCAGCTTTGTTCAATTGTATTCTTCATACTATAAAATAATGTCACGGAATTCTAAGCAAATCTTGTTTGCTAAATGAACTAGTGTAGCCCACAGGTCCTGATCTGGCTATGCCAAATGGCTAACATAAGGACAACTCAAAGTATGCTATTCTGTTCTTCTGAAATAGACTACATTTTCTTCATATCATGTTTCTTTGACCTGTCTAAAATAAATAATGGATTTATTGTGAAGGCGTAGGCTATATTACATGGATTTATTATACTTTTTTTTAATGTAGGTGTTCCAAAGGTCTGCATCAGTGGCTTGTAGGCTGTGTGTGGAAGCCAGGAGATGCTAAATGTGCTTATGTTAATTAATGGTCAATTACCCTGAGTTATTTGCTTGACAATCACCGGCTGCCGAAATTTCGTGACCGCCACAGCCCTAGTATTTCCTAATATTCCTAATTTCAGGAAAATCGGAGATGATCAGCTGCGACTCAGACCAGTTCCACTGCTCCAACGGAAAGTGCATCCCGGAGTCATGGAAGTGCAACGCCATGGACGAGTGTGGTGACAACTCTGACGAGGAGCTGTGCGTCCAGCCCAACCCCTCGGCAGCCTTCTCCTTCCAGCCCTGTGCCTTCAACCAGGTAGAGATTGCTAACTTTTTGTAGTCTAGGTCAAGTATCTCATTTTCATAAGTATTCACACCCCGAGTCAATACATGTTAGAATTACCTTTGGCAGTGATTACAGCTGTGAGTCTTTTTGGGTAAGTCTCTAAGAGCTTTTCACTCCCTAGTCCTTGCTGATGACAAGCATACCCATAACATGATGCAGCCACCACCATGCTTGAAAATATGAAGAGTCGTACTCATTGACGTGTTGTGCTGGATTTGCCCTAAACATAACACTTTGTATTCAGGACAGAAAGTTAATTTCTTTGCCACATTTTTTGGTGTTTTACTTAAATGCCTTATTGCAAACAGGATGCATGTTATGGAATATTTTGATTCTGTACAGGCTTCCTCCTTTTCACTCTGTCATTTAGGTTAGTATTGTGGAGTAACTAAATTTAACATTTTAGTCATTTAGCAGACGCTCTTCTCCAGAGCGACTTACAGTATTGAGTGCATACATTTTTCATACTATTTCGTACTGGTCCCCCGTGAGAATCGAACCCATAACCCTGGCATTGCAAGCGCCATGCTCTACGAACTGAGCCACATGGGACCTACAACTACAATGTTGTTGATCCATCCTCAGTTTTCTCCTATCACTGCCATTGAACTCTGTAACCATGGCCTCATGGTGAAATCCTTGAGAAGTTTCCTTCCTCTTCGGCAACTGAGTTAGGAAGGACGCCTGTATCTTTGTAGTGACTGGGTGTATTTAAAGGGTAATTAATAACTTCACCATGCTCAAAAGGATATTCAATGTCTGTATTTTTACCCATCTACCAATAGGTGCCCTTCTTTGCGAGGCATTGGAAAACCTCCCTGGTCTTTGTGGTTGAATCTGTGTTTGAAATTCACTGCTCGACTGAGGGACCTTACAGATAATTGTATGTGTGGGGTACAGAGATGAGGTAGTCAATCAAAAACCATGTAAACACTATTATTGCACAGAGTGAGTCCATGCAACTTATGTGACTTGTTAAGCAAGTTTGTACTCCTGAACTTATTTAGGCTTGCCATAACAGAGGGGTTGAATACTTATCGACTCAAGAATTGTTAGCTTTTCATTTTAAATTAGTTTGTAGAAAAAGTTTTTCACATAATTCCACTTTTACATTATGGGGTATGTTTGTTTGTGTGTTGTGTAGACCAGTGACAATCTCAATTTAGTCGATTTTAAATTAAGGCTGTAACACAACAAAATGTGGAAAACGTCAAGGCCTGTGAATACTTTCTGTATGTATTTTCCAATTTTATTGAATATAAAGTCCTTTTGGGGTGTCTAATGTACAGACAATCTTGCGCAAGCTGTCCATTAATTTGCACACCTGATAAAAACAAGGACCACAATGGAAATAAGTTTGTAGACTTTGTGTTTTGAATCCTCTACGATTTTTGTTGTATGTGTTGTTGTACTCCCATTAGCCGAGGCAACTATATGTATTTTAAATTTGTCAAATACAATTATTTCATTAATTTATTCATTCAGTTTCCCTGCCTGTCCCGCTACACCCGCGTCTACACCTGCCTGCCCGAGTCGCTCAAATGTGACGGCAGCATCGACTGCCAGGACCTTGGTGACGAGATCGACTGTGACGTGCCCACCTGCGGCGAGTGGCTGCGGAACTTCTACGGCACCTTCAGCTCGCCCAACTACCCTGACTTCTACCCACCAGGCAGCAACTGCACCTGGCTCATCGACACGGGCGACCACCGCAAGGTTGGTACTCTGGTTCTTTTGCCTGTCTGAGAACAAACGAGAACCGACCAAAATGGATGTAGATTTTGTGTTTAAAAAATCCTCAATGTTTTTGTTTATGTGTGTATTGTTGTACGGTATTCACATGGCTGAGACAACAATGGGTTTGTCTGAAATGACACGCTATCCCTATATGGTAAACTATTTTTGACAAAGGCTCACCAGACGTAGACTATACGTATTTTAAAATCTTCATTAATTCATTCTTTAATGGATTAATTCCAGGTGATCCTGCGTTTCATGGACTTCAAGCTGGACGGGACGGGCTACGGGGACTACGTCAAGGTGTATGACGGCTTGGAGGAGAACCCTCGCCATCTACTCCGCGTCCTCACTGCCTTCGACTCCCACGCCCCTGTGGCCGTGGTCTCGTCCTCGGGCCAGCTGCGCGTTCACTTCTACGCTGACAAGATCAATGCGGCAAGGGGCTTCAACGTCACCTACCAGGTAGTCGCATGAGTTCAACCCAGGTTTCTCTGAATCGATTAGTTGCTGTTGGTTTGGTTGCTAGGGCCGAGTGATTCAATGAATAGTTTTCCTGGAAAGATATAGTAAGAGGTACTTACATTGTTGCATACTAGTTTCTTATTTATTGCGGGGGGAGAAAAGCTAAAACAAATTTTTATCAAAACAAACAATCTTGTTTATTTAAAGTGAAATTTCACCTTAGCGCTGCCACTGAATATAGTCATAACAATATTATCAACGTTACGTTTTTTCATAAACATAAAAAATATCCTTGCCAAAAGCTTGAACAAGCTTGTTCTAATTTCACCGGTAATATCAGGACGTTTCGACTTCTATTTCTCTGCTCATACTGTACCACAAGACCCAGCATTCATACCGAATGCACAACGGGACCAGAGCAGGAAGCACCGTCGCACACTGAGCTGTAGTATTTCAGAGACCTGAAAAAATGTGTAGTCGTGTGTGTGTATATAGCAATGAATCCGCTGATAGGAACATTGCTGAAAGATGTCCAATGGCTCTATCGAACAAGTACAACAATATCTACACGCACACAAATGTATAGTGCACTTGATATATCAGAGGCTTTGCGAAATGCCACAAAGCAGGACTACTTTCCTTTTCTGATCTCGTCCACCCCATCAATACCGTTGTTGTCATTGTGTGTATCATTCGCCGCATGAAACCCAGACCCGCTTTCTTTGAGGCCAATTATGTGTAAAACACATCTCACTGACCTAGAAGTGCTTCTGACATTTCCCTTTAAACCCTTTCATAGATGTATCCATTTCTTTATTTTGGAATCATTACGGACGCCCTCAAATCGACTAATTGAATCTACCTCATCTCTCCTGCCAGGTGGACGGTTTCTGTCTGCCCTGGGAGATCCCGTGTGGGGGCAACTGGGGCTGCTACACGGAGCAGCAACGCTGCGACGGTTACTGGCACTGCCCCAATGGCCGCGACGAGGTCAACTGCAGCACCTGCCAGGAGGATGAGTTCCCCTGCTCCAGGAATGGCGCCTGCTACCCACGCTCGGACCGCTGCAACTACCAGAACCGCTGCCCCAACGGCTCGGACGAGAAGAACTGCTTCTTCTGCCAGCCGGGCAACTTCCACTGCAAGAACAACCGCTGTGTGTTCGAGAGCTGGGTGTGTGACGCGCAGGACGACTGCGGCGACGGGAGCGACGAGGAGAGTTGTCCGGTCATCGTGCCCACACGGGTCATCACGGCGGCGGTTATAGGAAGTCTCATCTGCGGCCTGCTGCTGGTCATCGCTCTGGGCTGCACCTGCAAACTCTACTCTCTCCGGATGTTTGAGCGCAGGTAATAAACTCAGACCCCATGCTATTACTCTTGTTATTACACAGTTGTTAAACAATTATATGGTGCCCACATAAGTCATAAGACTTTGTTTCTGTCTGTGTGGTTTGCTAGGACCGCTTTAGTATGTTTCACACCTACTACGAGAGATGATTGGTAATCCAGACTAGTCTTTAGGCCTTTATCTTTGGATTCATATAGCTAGTTAGCTCTCTGATTTCTGTCTTTGATCTCCATCAAAGGACACTGAATGAACTTTGAAATTCATTTTTTTTTGTGCCTCTAACTGATCTGGTTGTGTGTGTTTCTTCCATTCCTTTGAGTCCCTCTAACTGTTTCCTCAGGTCATTTGAGACCCAGCTGTCCAGGGTTGAGGCTGAGCTCCTGAGGAGGGAGGCTCCCCCGTCTTATGGCCAGCTGATCGCCCAGGGCCTTATACCCTCTGTGGAGGACTTCCCTGTGTGCTCCGGCAACCAGGCAAGTCTACAGCTAGATCACACTGCCCTCTTGTTCTCCTCAGAAGATGTGATCCTCTTGTCCATGCATGACTTAAGCTTAAGTCTGTGTTAAGAGTGCACATTTCCAAGTCCAGCCGTGAATGCCTATCTTTGTCATGGGATTGTAGACACCAATAATAATAATATATAATAATATAATATGCCATTTAGCAGACGCTTTTATCCAAAGCGACTTACAGTCATGCGTGCATACATTTTTGTGTATGGGTGGTCCCGGGGATCGAACCCACTACCTTGGCGTTACAAGCGCCGTGCTCTACCAGCTGAGCTACAGAGGACCACATAATCAACTGTGTAATGTCTAACAACCTGACTTCAGTAACAAAAGAGATGTTGAAGCGGTTTAACTGTGATTCATTATGAGGAAGTTCTTTTGAACTTCCTTCTGAAGCACTGTGAAGTGAGTTACTCAGTGACTGGGATTGTTTAGTTAAACAGTAACTGCTTCATGGAGAACATTATGGCTGTTTGCAGTATATCAACGTTTATATATAGTAAGGTTTATTTGAGCTTGTACACATTCACAGCTGAAAGCTGAATTACAGTCTACAGACAAAAAGGAAAGAAAAGAAAGATAAGATTTTAGGGTGAAATTAAGTGTTGATTAAATAATTTATTAAAGCAGTTTGGGACTGGCGTGGCGGGAGGAAGCATCGTTTGTCTCTGAGTGGAGGGAGGATCACGGTAGCAGCCAGGGGAGTCACAGTCAGTAAGCCAAACACGGACAGGTCCGGAGCCTCAGCCACGCATCAAGCTGTCCTGCCTGCTTCTCTGTATAGCCACTTGGCTTAGTATACGTACAGTGGGGAGAACAAGTATTTGATACACTGCCGATTTTGCAGGTTTTCCCACTTACAAAGCATGTAGAGGTCTGTAATTTTTATCATAGGTACACTTCAACTGTGAGAGACGGAATCTAAAACAAAAATCCAGAAAATCACATTGTATGATTTTTAAGTAATTCATTTGCATTTTATTGCATGACATAAGTATTTGATCACCTACCAACCAGTAAGAATTCCGGCTCTCACAGACCTGTTAGTTTTTCTTTAAGAAGCCCTCCTGTTCTCCACTCATTACCTGTATTAACTGCACATGTTTGAACTCGTTACCTGTATAAAAGACACCTGTCCACACACTCAATCAAACAGACTCCAACCTCTCCACAATGGCCAAGAGCAGAGAGCTGTGTAAGGACATCAGGGATAAAATTGTAGACCTGCACAAGGCTGGGATGGGTTACAGGACAATAGGCAAGCAGCTTGGTGAGAAGGCAACAACTGTTGGCGCAATTATTAGAAAATGGAAGAAGTTCAAGATGACGGTCAATCACCCTCGGTCTGGGGCTCCATGCAAGATCTCACCTCGTGGGGCATCAATGATCATGAGGAAGTTGAGGGATCAGCCCAGAACTACACGGCAGGACCTGGTCAATGACCTGAAGAGAGCTGGGACCACAGTCTCAAAGAAAACCATTAGTAACACACTACGCCGTCATGGATTAAAATCCTGCAGCACACGCAAGGTCCCCCTGCTCAAGCCAGCGCATATCCAGGCCCGTCTGAAGTTTGCCAATGACCATCTGGATGATCCAGAGGAGGAATGGGAGAAGGTCATGTGGTCTGATGAGACAAAAATAGAGCTTTTTGGTCTAAACTCCACTCGCCGTGTTTGGAGGAAGAAGAAGGATGAGTACAACCCCAAGAACACCATCCCAACCGTGAAGCATGGAGGTGGAAACATCATTCTTTGGGGATGCTTTTCTGCAAAGGGGACAGGACGACTGCACCGTATTGAGGGGAGGATGGATGGGGCCATGTATCGCGAGATCTTGGCCAACAACCTCCTTCCCTCAGTAAGAGCATTGAAGATGGGTCGTGGCTGGGTCTTCCAGCATGACAACGACCCGAAACACAGCCAGGGCAACTAAGGAGTGGCTCCGTAAGAAGCATCTCAAGGTCCTGGAGTGGCCTAGCCAGTCTCCAGACCTGAACCCAATAGAAAACCTTTGGAGGGAGCTGAAAGTCGTATTGCCCAGCGACAGCCCCAAAACCTGAAGGATCTGGAGAAGGTCTGTATGGAGGAGTGGGCCAAAATCCCTGCTGCAGTTTGTGCAAACCTGGTCAAGACCTACAGGAAACGTATGATCTCTGTAATTGCAAACAAAGGTTTCTGTACCAAATATTAAGTTCTGCTTTTCTGATGTATCAAATACTTATGTCATGCAATAAAAAGCAAATTAATTACTTAAAAATCATACAATGTGATTTTCTGGATTTTTGTTTTAGATTCCGTCTCTCACAGTTGAAGTGTACCTATGATAAAAATTACAGACCTCTACATGCTTTGTAAGTAGGAAACCCTGCAAAATCGGCAGTGTATCAAATACTTGTTCTCCCCACTGTATGTAGCCACTCCTCCAACAACTTCGTTCAGCAACAACTTTTCTCTTCTTGTCCAAACAAACAGTCCCGTTTGCCGCTAGTTTACAGCTATGTGGGATTAACTGTAGTCTTTCCTGGTTTCTGTTGGGAGACACATTTCCCAATGACCTTCATATACACATCTCAGGAGTTTCATGTTTATTGTCGTCTATAATAAATTGGGTTACTTACTGTAAAGGACTGTGTGAAAACTGTTGATTTAAAAAGGGTTTTATTATTTGATTGATGATACTAACAGTCTTGCTGTTCTCACTGTGTGTTGTCCAGGTGTCTGTGTTGGAGAACCTGAGGTTGGCGGTTCGCTCCCAGCTGGGTTTCACCTCCATCCACCTGCCCACCTCCGGTCGCCACAGCAACATCTGGCGTCGCCTCTTCAACTTCACACGCTCGCGGCGCTCCGGCTCGCTGGCCCTGGTATCTGCCGACGGCGAGGACAACAGCACCAGCCGCGGTAACGGCGGCTGCTCGGCCCGCGAGCCCGACAGGACTGGACCCCACCGGGGGTTGCTGCCCCTCGACTCAGACGACACAGATACGGAGAGCGAGCGCCGGGACGTGCCCGGGGCCGTGGGGGGCCTTGTAGCCCCCCTCCCCGTAAAGACCCCTCCTGCAACCGCAGTGGAGGTCATTGTCTCTGTGTCGACGAGCTCCACCACCCCCGCCCTGCTGCCCAGCCGTAGGGACAGCCACCGGGCCAGGGACAGGGCCAGCCCGGCAGTGGTGGAGACACACACCGTGGAGACCCCAGGGGGAGAGGCAGCAGAGCCTCAGTGTACTGCGACCGGGAGGAGCCAGCTGAGCAGTGCCCTGAGCAGGGTCACCCGCAGCCTGCGCTGGGTACGTTTATCCCTGGGCCGCTCTGGAAGCTCCTCAGGTGGGGGAACCCAGAACCACAGCCCTCTGAGGCACCTAGAGCATGGAGCAGGGACCAGGGAGGACGAAGACGACGTGGAGCTGCTTATCCCTGTGTTGGATGCTGCCTCAGACACTGACTCCACCAGCGAGACCTCCAGGCTCCTCAACCTGGTGGTAGGCCTGGATCAGGCTGCCCCTCACCTATCGTCCCCAGCCTCCCTCAGGTCAGGCCGGGTGTCCCTGTGCCGGAACGGGCCCTGTGAACACTGTAGCATGGTTCATACCGCACAGATCCCAGACGCCTGTCTGGAGGCCACAGGCAAGACGGAGACCAATAGTGATGACGAGTTACTTCTGCTCTGCTAATAGCTCTAACCTAAGGGACGTTACGGTATGACTCAACTGACTGTCAACATGGACCGTCCCTGTCAAAGCTTGCCATTTATTTTATCTGGAAGAGGGCGGGTGGTAAATGTCATTTTTATGCCCCGTTTTAAGATCAAGTGTGTTTTTGAAAAGCCTGTAGTTCGTACTGTATTGCAGTCTTCTTGGTGTATTCATCAGATGGTACATTCTCTGCCCAACCTCCCCCCTCTTCCCCTCCATGTTCCAGTTCCAGACTTTTCCCTTGGGAGTTCCAGCTCAGCCTGGGAACTGGGAAGTAGAACTACTCAACCTTGACTTTGTCTAGCCGAGGAAAAGTTGAATGGACTCCATAGCAAGAAGACACGTGCAGCAGAGTGGAACTGAGTTGTATACAACACAACCACAGCACCTGCCGTTCTGTTCCTCTTCTTCTCACACTAATTTGGGATGAAGCAGAATAAATAAGCTGCCTTTTTATGTTCAAGAATAATGGTACGAGAGAGACCAAGTATAGAGTACGGACGAAATTAACAATCTAGAGCCTGTGAAAAGCTAGACGTGATTTAAAGATGTCTGTCAGCGTTATTTAATGTCAGTTTCTTCTCCTTCATTATAGGGAATGTGAGGGTGAGGGTGAGGGCTCTGAGTATCTGTGGCTGACCATGTGATGGTATGTTTGTTTCATTTCAGTTCAATGGGAGGCTGTGTAACTCCTTTCCTATTGAAAGGTACGGATGTGTTCTCATGCGTGATAATAGCAAGAGCATTTTATTTATAAAAAGGAAAAGTAAATTGCAGAGAACCTCTTTCTGAAGACGAAACATTGTATAACATCCACAGATGTTTGTTGTATTTATTGTTTTGTTACTGTTTTGGTACTGAGAATACTTGTGCCACTGTGTATATTTATTTCAATTTCAGTAGCTGTTACGTGAGAAGATGCATGTCAAATTGTCTTGTGCTATTTTTTTGTTAAAGTGATATGTTGAAAAAATAATTATATAAACATAACTGTTTACTGCATGTAGAAAATCAGAATAAAGCATTCATCCTGCTAACTTGTTTGTTTCTTCGTTGGGATATGAGGTGAAATTTGTAATGCTCAAAGTCAACAGTAAGCATTGTTGTTGACCAATTCAGGACTAATGTTCGTACCTGTATTGCTATCAATATTTGTTTTCTTTACTGGATCACCTGATGATGGTCGACAATCTCACTAGACAACTAGCCTGCTGCTAGACACCATTGTGCATCCAATCCATCCAACAAGTATACTGAACAAAAATATAAAAACAATAAAATCAGTCAATTGAAATGGATACATTAGGCCCTAATCTATGGATTTCACATGACTGGGAATACAGATATGCATCCGTCGGTCACAGATACCTTTTTAAAAAAGGTAGGGGCGTGAATCAGAAAACCAGTCAGTATCTGGTGTGACCACCATTTGCCTCGTGCAGTGCGACTCATCTCCTTTGCAAGAGTTGGTCAGGCTGTCTCTGGCAAAAGCTCTGGTTGACATTCCTGCAGTCAGCATGCCAATTGCACGCTACCTCAAAACTTGAGACATCTGTGGCATTGTGTTGTGTGACAAAACTGCACATTTTGGAGTGGCCTTTTATTGTCCCCAGGACAAGGTGCACCTGTGTATTGATCATGCTGTTTAATCAGTGTCGTGGTAATTATTCTAATCAAAGGCAAGACTTTTAGATTTCCTCAAAACAATAGAACTTTATTAATTACTGCAGTAATGGAGTTGGTCGGTAACCACCCTGGAGGTGATCACTGAGAACTCAGAAGAGCAGAACTGAGGTTACAGCTCTTTATAGCAAAGACACATCCTTCTGAATACATGACAAACAGCAGATGTGTGGAATGGGTCAAAAGGTACATTGTGCTCTCATGCAACAGACATCAAGATTTACATGTAGCCAAATATCTGTCTCTAGTTCAATGCAACATAGGATACTAAGCCTTGGCCTTAATTTATGAAGTTCAGTGTTAATTAATCCATATAGGATAAATAAACTGGAGATTGGGTCTCCCTGGCACAGACAGACAGGCACACAGACACTAATCATGGAATGGAATGTTGTCTTATCACCAAGTCATTGCAAATCAACTGTCAGCATTTAAATCTCAGAGGCTCATCTCAGTTCCACACAGACACAGAAGAGTTCTAAAAACCCTATTATGTTGCCTCAGAAGAACAGACAGTGTGAATGTAATATAAAAGTAATGTGATTAACATAATGTTGTAATTCTACAGCATCAGCTTCTTGATATGCCACACTTATGGTGGAAAATAAGTATTTGGTCAATAACTAAAGTTTCTCAATACTTTGTTATATACCCTTTGTTGGCAATGACACAGGTCAAACGTTTTATGTAAGTCTTCACAAGGTTTTCACACACTGTTGCTGGTATTTTGGCCCATTCCTCCATGCAGATCTCCTCTAGAGCAGTGATGTTTTGGGGCTGTCGCTGGGCAACACGGACTTTCAACTCCCTCCAAAGATTTTCTATGGGGTTGAGATCTGGAGACTGGCTAGGCCACTCCAGGACCTTGAAATGCTTCTTACGAAGCCACTCCTTCGTTGCCCAGGCGGTGTGTTTGGGATCATTGTCATGCTGAAAGACCTAGCCACGTTTCATCTTCAATGCCCTTGCTGATGGAAGGAGGTTTTCACTCAAAATGTCACGATACATGGCCCCATTCATTCTTTCCATTACACGGATCAGTCATCCTGGTCCCTTTGCAGAAAAACAGCGCCAAAGCATGATGTTTCCACCCCCATGCTTCACAGTAGGTATGGTGTTCTTTGGATGCAACTCAGCTGTCTTTGTCCTCCAAACACGACAAGTTGAGTTTTTACCAAAAAGTTATATTTTGGTTTCATCTGACCATATGACATTCTCCCAATCCTCTTCTGGATCATCCAAATGCACTCTAGCAAACTTCAGACGGGCCTGGACATGTACTGGCTTAAGCAGGGGGACACGTCTGGCACTGCAGGATTTGAGTCCCTGGCGGCGTAGTGTGTTACTGATGGTAGGCTTTGTTACTTTGGTCCCAGCTCTCTGCAGGTCATTCACTAGGTCCCCCCGTGTGGTTCTGGGATTTTTGCTCACCGTTCTTGTGAACATTTTGACCCCACGGGGTGAGATCTTGCATGGAGCCCCAGATCGAGGGAGATTATCAGTGGTCTTGTATGTCTTCCATTTCCTAATAATTGCTCCCACAGTTGATTTCTTCAAACCAAGCTGCTTACCTATTGCAGATTCAGTCTTCCCAGCCTGGTGCAGGTCTACAATTTTCTAAGCTAATGGATAGTGACATGTGCGTGTGATAACTCTACAGGTCATGAGGACAGAGACCTCTAAGAAGAAGTTACTCTGAGAGCCAATAGTTCCCACACATAATCCTATTGATTTCTGGAATGGATAAAGGAAAAGACCTCACTAATCATGGGAGATTATTTGTAATGATAAATGCTCACTAATAGGGATGTAAAGAATTTAGTGCACTAAACTTAAGAGAAATAAGCTTTTTGTGCATTTGGAAAATGTCTGGGATCTTTTATTTCAGCTCATGAAACATAGGACCAACACTTTACATGTTGTGTTTATGTTTTTGTTCAGTGTATGTCATATGTTAATGACAGTAGGCCTATAGTTGACTCTTTTGGTTTGAAGCATTCGATTTTGCAATCGCATATGCCTACATTATTTTTTGTGTGAGTCCTGTTTTCATGGCGAAACATAATGAAATGTTACATAGGCATAGTTACACTTCCAGTTCATTTTCCGAGATCTCCAAGATCCATGGGGTTAACTTACAGGGGTTAAGTTCAATATTTTAATTCAATTGTTAAATGATAAATAACACGGTCATAAATGTGATTCATGTAATGAAAGAAAGGTAGTGTTTTATATCACATGATCTGTGAAGACTCCAAGCCTTAACTCATGAATTATGGACAATTCATGAACTAGGGTGCAAAACATGTATTATATTAAATGTAGGCTACCTATTCTGCGTAAGTTCAAGTGTTATAGAGGGTAGGCTTCCGGCAGTGTTGCAGGCCAAGTGGAGGGTAAACACAAGCAAACGCAGTTTACCCACCTTGTTCCAAAAAATGCATTGGAAGTATAGGGAGCGTTACTTTTTTCACCGCGACCGGCAAAAAGTTTACCCACCTATTATTTTTAACACTACATCACTGGCTACCGGTAGGCCTATTTGAAGTTCATGGTAATACACATTGTAGCCTAGTATTGTAAGTTCACCATGTATTAGGGTGACCATCCTGTTTTTCCTGGGACAATTTCAGCCCCATTTCAGGTGTCCCGGCTTTTCAGGCTACAAAAAAACATCAATTTGTCAGCAAGACGCATCAATTAATGCAGGCCTAATCAATGGTAATCGCTGAATGTCATTAGGCACACTTCTTGGTGTTTTGCAACAGATGTCTATTTCCATTCATCAAATGGCAGTTTGGATGCTGGAATTATTTTGGAGTGGACGAACATGCCTACTTTTTGAAGTTATTTGTTGGACAATGAGATTAAAATATAATGACTGGTTGTGGTCATGCCACATTAAAAGGTAATTATTTTTGTACATTTGAAATTATGTCTTTATTATTAGGCCCATAAAAAAATGTATGCATGTGCTCGATATAGATACCCCCCCATTTGTCATAGTGTAATTCACATTCTGTCGGGCCCACGGTCTGTATTGACCCCGTTCTGGGCCCGAATCCAGACCGCGGCCATGTCCGAATACACATACCAGCGTACTACATACTTAAACTGCATACTATGTACTCATAGTCACATAATGTTTAGCACTGTACAGTTTAGTAAAAAGTATGCAGTATGCCATGGCCGCATTGCACTAGCTGCTCGTGACTGGCTGAGTAGGCAACCTGGTCTCAGAGCATTTAGTATTATTCTGTACGTAAATCGGAGATACTCCATTTAGTATGATATGTTACGTTTGGTATGGTATGTATTAATTTGTGGATGTCCATCACCCATTTCATATTATATGTTACGAATTACAAGGCGTATTATGTTACGAATTTGCGAAATGTAAAATAAGTTACAAATTTGACTAAAGTGTTATGTTACGAATTTGCCAAACATATAATACGTTTTGCAAATTCATAACATATTGTATGTTACGATTTCTAGCTAGGGGGCTAACGTTAGATAGCTCGCAAACGTCAGCTAGTCTAGGGGTTAGGGTTACGTTTAGGAGTTAGGTTAGGGTTAGCTAAAAGGGTTAGGGTTAGCAAACACGTTAAGTAGCTGCAAAGTAGTTAAAAAGTAGTAAGTAGTTGAAAAGTTGCTAATTAGCTAAAATGCTAAAGTTTTCTGTGATGAGATTCGAACTCGCAAGTTGAGTGCGGGTGGATTTTTCCAAATTCAACAGACATGCGTCACATTAACCAGCCTGATAATAGCTCATTTCCAATTTGATTAATTTCTCTAAACTCTGCATAGAATAGGAATGGAGTTATAGGCCTACTCAGGCTGGTTATAGGCAGACTATCACATTCGACCTATACCGTAGTCCATAAAGCCTATTATCGTATTTAAAAAAGACTGAAGACAGAAACAGAATTTGGTTCTATTTCATCATATTTATTAGTGAAACCAAAGTGCTGTAACAGATATAAATTAAATGAAATAGCCTATAACACACACCAAATGTTCAAATCAAAAGGCTATTGCACAGAAAAATGTGGACAGTCGAGTGCATCGCAACTTCAGAACCGCTGGACAGCAACATAATAAACTAAAAAGAAACTGAGACACACCAAGTTCCTCATACACCAGTGGAGGCTCCTCTGGGGAGGAACGGGAGGACCATCTTCCCCAGTGAATTTCATCCCCCAAAAATGAGTGAAACATTAAAGTTATCCTTTTTAGATAAAACTATAGTAAATACAGTATATTCACATGTCACCAAATAATTGATTAAACCACACTGTTTCGCAATGAAGGTCTACAGTAGCCTCAACAGCACCATGGTGTAGCCGG